TATTAGATTAGGCTATAGCCTATAGTTAGATGTAATGTATTTGTTTTTTATTTTCGCAAATTCACACTTATACAAGGTAATTTCAATATTTAAATTGGTTTTCATGATTTTCACAACGTTTCGATTGGTTGTGTCCAATCGTCTTCAGGTGATAATGGTAAAATATTTCGAAACTTTTGTTTATAAACAAAAGTTTCGAAATATTTTACCATTTATAAATAGCTGGTCGATCTTGTTCATTGAGCTGGAACTGTTTAATCTTGCGTAGGATTGGTTTCCACAGCGGTTTGATTTCTACGCTTGGTTTGCTGAAAATATTGTTATTCTGGCTGATGTATGTAACTTCCAGGAATTTTCTTTTCAGCCAGTGTGATTCTCTGTGTAGAATTTTTGCGTTTAACAATGAGATATTGTGGTGTTCCTTCCATGCATGTTCAGCTAATCCAGATTTCGTGGTTTCCCCTTTTGTTGTGTGTGTTTTGTTTCTCCTTTATAGAAATTACGATCGAACAGGGCATCTCTGAGAAAATTAAAAAAATCGCAAAACCTCTAGGAGTAAGAACGGTTTTATCTTCAAGAAACACACGAACCCAACCCAACCCACACAAAACCTAGCAAAAAACGTAATTGATGTTAAAAAACGCGTGCCTTTAATTATATATCGGCACTACTGCAGATAATTTATTTAAGTTTAATTACCAATGAATTAAATGTGTAGGTGATTGTATAAAACAAATAAAATTTTAATAAAATCCGATAATTATATTTTACCTTGTTTACTTTTAATTTATGTATGCATGCAATGTATTGCTGTATAATACAGCCTGTATTTATTGGTATTTTTTCTAAAGTGATAGGAAAAATAAAGAAAAGACATCTGAGTTTGGTGCATTGCAGTAATGTCATAAAACACTACACCACCTGTTTCGTTTACATGCTTTTCTTTTATAGATTCTAGACATTAATTTCATTATATTGCCAGCTAAATTGAATTTTTTTACAGGAAAGATTTGTGTTCTTAAATTTATTACACTTTTATTGATTCCTCTTTATTAACTTTTATAATTTAACATTTTTATTAATAATAAAATAGTATACTATTATAATATTATTATTCAATTTAAATAAATAAGAATTCTTAAACACAAACAAAAGGTTTTTTTGGTATACCAGACTATTCTAAAATACATTTAACGCTTTCTGAAATACATTTGACTGCTTACCTTTAGGTATAAATCCTGAAGCCTAAAGACCAAAAACTGTAAAAAATAGCAATTTAAAGTGAAAGGATTGAAAAGCAGATAGCTAACCACTATACTTTTCAGTTATATTATGTTTGGAGACCCTGTGTAAAGAAAGAAACTTTAGTTTCTCAACTTTAGGCTGCAAAATGAAGCCTAATTTTCAAGTTCAAGCAGTTTTTTTTTGAAATTTTTAACCCCCTCCCATCGTAACGGCGTAACACATGAGGTGATCGTCAAAACAAAAAATACGTTAACACTTTAACTGCCGGCAACGCGGCTACCGCGTTCTTGTGTATTTTACAATATGCCGAGCACGCGGGACCCGCGTTCTGTACGGTGGCATAAAGCATGGTTTTTGTCGCTGGGTGCCGCCAACGCGTCTACCGAGTTTGTTTATTTGTTTTTTGTTTAGTATTTTTTCATATAGAACCTTTCAATATGAAACGAAAGAAACAAGTTTTAGTCCATTTTTATTTAAAATTTCTAAAAAAAAAGCCATCGGCACTGCAACATGGGCGGACTATTACGTCGGCAGTGAACGTGTTAATTACCACAGCGCACAGTGGTCCAAAAGCCCAAAAACATGGTCAAAATAAAGGTGGTGTACAAATATGGAGGACAATTGTACAAAAAATAAAAATGATATTTTTTAAATTTGACAGAATATGGTAATTTGGTCGCTGATAATGAATTTGATTTAAATTTTTCCAAAAACAAAATAATTTTTCAAAAATTAAAAATTCAAAAAAATTTTCTGATATAGCAAATTTTCTGATATAGCAAATTTAGCAACTTGTAGTTTTTGAGGTAGCTGATATCAAATTTGATTTCCATTATTCATGCTGTATCCAATATGGCCGCCATTTTTCAAAAAAATTTAGGAATTATTTTGGTTGCATTTATACAAAAACATATTCAGTACCGTAAATACGGGTGACTTTGCACCCCGCGGGTGACTTTAACCCATTTATGAAAAATCTTTTCGCGCTCGATAAAATTAACATTTATAATTTGTTGGTCTAAACCTGTCAATTGAGCGATTCTATTGAGTTTATATTACAGGAAAATCAGTGTTTTAAAGAAAAAAATGGGATTTATTACACTTTAAAATTGTATATATCTTAGAAATACACGCGTTACAATTTCTATATTATGCGCAATCCATTGGAATGATGATCCTTGGTTAACTACAGGTCGATTTTTTATTTTTTTTATTGGTAATCCCTTGCAATAGATATATGTCGCTGCTAACACGTGTCTAATAAAAATAAAATATAATATTACATTCATTTTATACTGAAAAAACAATGTGAGACAAAGTAACCCGCAACCAGGGGGTAACTTTGCACACCCAGTTTTTAATGTTTATTTTTGAAACTCAGCCCTATGTAATATATAACATAGTTATTATGAAAGAGCAACTCAAGACTCAAATTTTGGTATACAAAATTTAATGTTTATGATTGTTAAAACCACAAAAATTTTAAGCTGAAGTTTGAAAGTGAGCCAAAGCCACCCGTGTTTACGGTACATAGTTTAAGATACATTTTTGAGTTTACAAATATAAACACTTAATGCGTTAGAAACAAACACCCTGTACATAGATTTATCAAGAGATCGTCGGGTATAAATGGCACGGGCGCCTAACTATTGTAGGCTTAACTGTTATATTGGTAGCCACTTTTTTATTAAATCAAATTTCCCCAACAGTTTCCGGTTTTCCAGTGATTAAAAAAAAAATAGTATATTGTTTATTGCATTAAAAAACATAAATTAATCAGAAAGTTTTTAAATGTATAGAAAGATTAAAAGAAAAAATTCTAAATATTTTTTATTTAAAACTACATACAAGTATCAATACGGTTTTATAACATTTTATATAGATATTAAACCCTTTATAATTTTATATATATATTATTTTTATTAAAATATTTATTATAAAATAAATAATACTAAGAAAAAAGACTACCACTTCTTAAAAAAACTTGTTTAATATAGTGTATATGTTTTTATTTTTTAATAGAGCTGTAACTTATTTAAATCGTCTGTAAAACATTTCTTTTAATAAATTAAATTTTATAGCAATTTCATTAATTAGTCCCTGATAAAATAAATTCCCTTATATTTCTTGGTTTTCCAGAAAGTAGCTACCCCCCAGTAAGCACAAGCTAGCCGGCCCGCATACGGCCCGAATACGTTTTGCCGAAGGATTTTGCAGCGGCATGCCGTATTCTGGCCGACTTCGGTTAGAACATGGCTAAACGGTACCGGCGTAACATAACGCGGGCCGGCTGGGGCAAGCCGAACCGCCGGTCAACCGCCTATACCGAGCGAAGGCCGACTGTTTGGTGCTTACTGGGCCTATGTTATGTACCAAAAGAAAAACACGCGCGGTTCTACAAAATTTCATACTACAGCCAAAGTCTCAGCAAGTCGCAAGAAATTTTTGATAATTTATATTTGTTATATCAATATTTCAACTTCAAATTTTACAACAGCCTGGGATCTCGTGGGATGATAACTATTTCAATGCTTTTTATAGGACGAATCGATTAATGTTCATATTATACAGTTGCTTATTAAATGTAATTTTTATATCTAGTAAAATATCATAATTTAGGTTTTACAAGTGTGAGAGTATTTTATACACCTTTAGGATCTCCTTCCATCGCACTGATTTGGAAAGTGACTCCTCGATAGTTTATCAGTGAATTACTCTTGGAATTATTTTAACACAAATGGTGCGTCGAAATACTTAAGCCCGCTGCACAATAGCCCGGTAACAGGAACGGGAATCTGAACAGTAAAGGTGGGAGAGACTAAGAAACGACTGTTGATAGATAGTGTTTGCTGAGTCTCTCCCACCTTTACCGTTTAGGTTCCCGTTCCCGTTCTCGTTACCGGGCTGTTGTGCAGCGGGCTATACTCTGGCAGAGCTCAATAATTATTGTAACTGACCTACAAATGCGAGTACCGAAGCTACCTAATTTTCCCTGTAGTTTAATACGTAGAATATGTCCCCTTACCATAATACATACACAAAACATCACAATTTTTCATTTAATTTTTCGGATTTTGGCAAGCTTTTTTTGACTTGGGACCACTGTGCAGCGCTTCATCCCCTCCCACGTCAGTAACGCACGGTAAGATTTTGCCTTTTCCTACCCCCTGAGAGCGTTACATAATACTTGAACGCTCCCATAGGAATTTTCTCAGTTTAAATTCGTTAGGAATATCCCTACTTAAAATACCCCATGGACACCATGTTTAAACCGATAGATATTTGTATCGAAATGTATGATGTATCGGTATGTATAGGACCCATAGATGGGATTTATGGTTGTTCTTTAGGGATATCCACCCTTGATTTATTTGCTATTGTTTTCAATGGGAAAAATACACAAAGGTTTTAATAAAATTTTGTCAAATGTTTTATGGTTGTTCTATAGGGATATCCCTATATATCCTTCATTGAGTTATTTGCTAGGGAAAATGTAGAAGTTATGGTGTGCCTATAGGTAATTTCCTATAAATTTTCTATCGGGCCGTATCCGGAAAAAACCATGGACACATGCACATATTGAATCCGGTAGCGCCCGATAGTTTATTTTATTTAGGTCTCTATGGGATATTTTAAGAAGGGATCTTCTTTTATTAGAATCAATAAAAAACCTTCAGTTAGTTTTTATTATGCTATATAGTTAATTATAAAACTATTTTGCGCATATAGGAATGGTAAATAAAAAAAAAAAATCATTTTAAAGATTCAAGAATATTTATTTTACCCTATAATGAATAACTAATAAAAATACAAACATTAGAGAATATGTAATTAAATGTTGGAGAATATAAATATACAAATGGATAATACAGTTTGATATTAAAATAGATTAAATAGGTAGGTGTTATATAAGAAGCTTCTAATATATAAGTAGGTAAACATAATCGTAATAGTTTAAAACAAAATATAATGTTTGTTACTATAAAAAATACTTTTGATTCGATGTTAATCTATTGATACTGGGGTTTATCAATTATGCAAACCACAACCAACAAATAATAATTTAAATTCAAAACAATATTGGTCAAAGGCAACAGGGTTTAATGAAATATATATACATTTTAGTGTTCAAAAGTGTTTGCAAATTATTTACATTTAAAAAGGAAGCACCAGTGAAGTCTTTGCATGATATAAAATAAGACACTTTTTTAAATCCAGGTTAATTAGGAACAGGATGATTTTAATTACTTATAATAAATTGTTGTTAACCCTAGATGTGATATTAGTAAACATAAAAATGCATACAAATATATATATATCTATGTAAGTAAATCATTTCTCCTTTACATATTCTTTTTATTAAAAAGGAAAATTATTACATAATCCTTTTTTTCTATGTATTAAAAATGTATTAATGGTCAAGCCCAAAAACCAAATGGCACTAAAATTAAAAGACAACTACTACCATATTAACCTTATTATATGAATAATTACATAAATTGGAATGATTATTTGACTAAATAAAAATTTAACAAAAAAATATGAATTTGAACAAAATGCATTAACTGTACCTATGCATAATCAAAATAATCAACAGATCTGCCCTTTTAATTGTATATATTATATATAAATCACAATATATCTAACAGAAAAACAATTTTAATACATAATTTTTAACATAGATAAAATATAATATATAAAAAGCCCTTACTACAAATAACAATGTGAACATATTTTAGGTAATTCTGTAAGGCCACTTATTGAGCAAAAGCTCTATCTTACGTTAAAAAATAATACTTATAAATGCATAAGTAGAAAACCCAAAAACTAAATTTTTAATACAAGAGGCAAAATCGCCAACATCCATTGAGCATTGAGGAGTTTTGTTTACTTATCGTTAATTGACAGTATTTAATTTTTTTTATATTAGTGTATCACTTTTTTATTGATAATATCATGTATTGAAACATAGTTATTTTGATTAGATTTTGATTTTTTATATAAAAGAATAAACATTCAATAAAAAGCTGACACATGCGTAAGTATAAAAGGAGGGATTTCATTAAATAGTCTTACATGTTTTCGAACTGGTCGACGCGACGTTTGGTGTTTCCCTTGCGAATTTCGCGAAGAGTCTTGTATTTGTCTCTTCCTTGGCGCACGTTTTCTCTATGAATTTTATCCATGGCAGTTTCCTTGGTGTCATCGCGCGATAGAGCTAAATCTTTCTTCAAAGCCTACAAAAAAAGAATTATTACATAATTAACAAGATGATTTATAAGTATTGTAAAACCTTTCAACAGCATAACTAAAAAACCTATACCTATTGGAAACCATATCTATAGGCGGAACTAAATTTAAATAGAGAATTATAATTTAGCACTGTCCAACCAAAACACGATTTTCACCCTACTCTTCTAGTTTATGCCAAAACCAGTTATTAAATTTAGTTAAATATTCGTTATACCCTAAAATCTAGTGTTTTTTCCAGCTTCATAAAGAAGACCACTCAACAAGAACGCTAGTTTCGACCGAAACCGAAATTTGGGTGGGACACTATTAAGTACGCTAACATTTATTATACCATTATAAATTTAAATTTAAACAAATACATAAGGGGACATCCATTAATTACGTGAGATAAAAATAGGGGGAGAGGGGTCTAGCAAGATCTCACCAAATCTTATGTTAAGGGAGGGGGGGTCATTAAAAATCCCACTTCCACTTTTGGGTTTAAAGAATATGTATTTTAATTCAAATTTGTCAAAAAAGTAATTAATTTTTATTTTTTGGGTTTATCATGCTGTCTGCAAAGAAAGTTTAATGGCTAGAATCTCACGTGAGGATCTACCAAATCTCACCAAGGGGGAGGGAGGGGTCCAAATTATCAGAAAAATGCCTCACGTAATTAATGGATGTCCCCTAATGTTAAGAATAAGAATAGAAGATATACCCATTTAAAGAATGTCAACCTTAAAAAGATAAAAAACAAATGTATAAATTTAACTGTGATAATAATAAATGTTAGGATGTTGGCTGAAGCTAGATATAACATTAAGAATTTAATCTAAATATAGTTTAATTTTTTTTTTAAATAGGCCAAACAATTTCTTAAACCACCTGCATATCTTGGTTTGGATTTGCGTGTTATTTTTTTTAGAAAATCTTTTTTGCGAATGATAACAATATTATGTATGATAATTATCTTTAAAGATTATATTTTGAAAATAATAATATTATGTATGATAAAGATTATATTTTTCCATAAACTATATATAAATAAACAAATATTTAAAATAGTAAAATGCAATATTAAACCGGGGCCGTCACACATTTTTTTGGATTTTATACCCCCTCCCCCCTTTCATATACTGTATTGTCACGAAATCTCGACACCCTAAGTAGGGTTACCACCTCTCCGGGCCTGAGGGAGATTCTATGGGTCACCAGATTTTCCAGAGTGAAGTTTAGTTTATATTTGTTCTTGACTGGGAAACAAGGGGATGCACCCGGATGGTCGCTACATTACCGGCTAGAATTTACTATAGCCAAGACAGATGTCAAACTCAACAACATAATTCGTTTTTTGACCACTTCCTTGTTTTTCAGTTAAAAACAAAAATTAACTAAATATTGCTTAGAAAAATCTGTTGGCCTGGATAAATTAATCTGTCAGATGATCATGATCAAGTGATCAATCTTATAAACAAAGAAAAGTAACCTTCTATCGCGTAATTGATTCCCAATTAGTTTTTACTTATTTAAATTAAAAATTTTGTTCCAAACAAGTACCATGTCTGGACAACTTGACGAACCGCCACAAAGAAATATGCAGACTCCAAATAACATTTATTTTAAAAATTAAGCTTGGCTGTATTGTAAGTAAGTATTGACCAAAATATTGGATCATTATCTGCGTCATTTCAAGTACAAAGCATATTTTTAAGAATATGACATTTATATAAATTAAGATAATTATCTTGACTAAAAAGAGTGATAACAATAAGTTACACTAACCCAATTCTGCGGGCGAGCAGTCCGACCAAGGTGGTAACCCTACCTCAAGGTAACACGCCCCACATATTTTTTTGATTTTCAATTTTTTTTAAATCTTTTCATCAAACATTTCTTTTGATCGGTACTGTACCTACTGCACATGTTCTAGTATAATCGCCGTCGTTGCGTCAACAATTTGTGAACCAAGCACAGACATTACTGCTGTTTTTTTGTATACGTATGTGGGATGTATGCCGGACGTTGTCGACAAACCGGTTTTTTACATTTGAAATTAATGACGCAACAGAAAACATTCGCTGCAGCGACTTTATCTTCGCAAATTCTAAGTAGGTCACTATACTGTTATAGTTATAACGCTTTGACCGCAAGGAATATTGTAGGACCCCCTTACTAACCGTTAGATCTAATCAGATGTCTCAAAAGTTTTGAGACATCTGATTGGATCTAAAAACAAACCTAATATTGTGCTTTTTACAATTACAAGTTTAAGTCACAGCATAAAAAAGTAACAACACAAATGTTTTTTTTCGATTTATTCTTCATAAATAGAATATGCTCTCAAAATTTATTACAGTTCTTATGAATCACGCTAGATAAGCAATAAATAATTACTTTATATATTATTTTTTATAATTAAATAATTTATTGAAAAAATATGGTTTTCATGTAATTTTAAATTAAAAAAACAAGATATTGGACAAAAAAATAAGACGCAAACCCAAAAAGGGTGGTCTGCTTGACCATATTATTATATATTATTTAAAAAAATAAGAACAAATTAATAGAAAGTAAATTGTCCCCCAAATTAAAATGTTTTATTTAGGATTTCGAGTTTTAAAACCATGCATAAAGTACACTATTTACAAATTCCTGCCCATTTAAGTCATTATAATATTATTTTTTTATTTTGGTAGTAATAAACTGTTCAGTAAATAATTCCTAGTTGATTTAACAAATATATAGTTTAAAATACATTTTTGCACAGTTAAAAAGTTTTATTCAGTATTCTAATTAATATTTGCTTGGTAAAGATATATCTATCAAATGCACAGTATTTTATACCAATCCTTTAGGTAAAGTTTGAACGCTGTAAGTTTATTAATGCAACATCATCAGCCGTACACATTGCCCACCGTTTTTAAGCGATGACGTTGCGGTATCAAACTTCAAACTGTGTAAATAATAAACGTTTATTAAACCAATCAACCTAACCCATTTTTACTAGAATTTTATTAGGTTACTAAACTATACTTAAAATTTTACTAAACATTTACGATTTGAAAGAACATTTATTATTTTACCAAGTATATATTATTTAGGGGACTTGCTAATTTTAGAATTATTTTTTAGTTTAATACAGAAGCGACAACATCGCGAGTTGTTTATAGTTGATTTCTATGGTAATACTTTTCGCTTTTGAGAGTGAAAGTAACATTTCTATATGCAGTGTTATTTAAAATCTTAAAATAAGTTGTAAAAACATGTTCTATGAAACGACTGAAGTCCACTACAAAGAAAAAAATATAAAAAAAAGTATGGGTAACAAAAATAAAGCAACAAAAAACAGTACTTATGTTGAAGGCAGCGAACATCTCAAGAAACTAGCAAAAAACAAGTAAAGCATATAAGGTAGCAAGATTGTCTAATTATTTAAAATAAATAAATTACATATAGTTATTAAATAACAATACAATTGTTTTTTTTAATAATTTACTTTAAAGACGAAATTATAGTACCTTCAGTGTTGCTGAATCTTCTAGACGAAAATGACAGATTGATAATTTTGGGTGGACACAGTCTACATTATCGTTTATTATAGCAAAACTGTGCTGTGAAAGTTAACAACAATTTATATGGCACTTCTACAGGCATAAGTGCTTACTAACAAAAAAATCATTAAATTTTCAATGTCACGTTATAATATACAGTGCTTGCAAATCCAAGTCCGACCGGTTTGGGAAGAACGCGTGAAAATAACAAGGATAGAACGCCAAAGCGAAGGCGCTTACAATACGCACGCCTGACGCTCTGACCAATCAAATTCTGTTTGGCATTCTATCCTTATTCTTTTCACGCGGGTATTGAACAACCATCCTTCCCAACGCGGTCGGACTTGGATTTGCAAGCACTGTATATATGCATAAATTCACAATCCACACAACAAGGTATGTTCTATCTCGTATTAAAAATACTAAAAACCACTGCAACACTGCACAAAGTTTAACAGCGGCCATTTTTGTTGTTTACAATTTATGTGCTTTGGGTTTGGGCTGTTTATACAGAGTAATAATCGTTTTAAACGTTGTGTTTCTTTCAGAGGCACTTGCAATCCTCAAATGAGGCATTAAAGTGCTAAGGACAACCATTTTACTTCTCTTTTGTAAAAAATAAACCTCATTCTATTAGAGCTGTCATCAAACTGTCAATTTTAAGGTTAATTTATAACCCACAAATTAACTTAATTAATCTGTACAATGTACATCTGTATAAACAGCACAAACCCTAAGCACAAAAAGTGTAAACAACAAAAATGGCTGCTGTTAAACTCTGTGCAGTGTTGCAGTGATTTTTAGTATTTTTAGTACGAGATAGAACAGACCTTGTTGTGTGGATTGTGCATTAATTAATCTCCTGTATAGGAGATGTATTTAATTAACTTATATCCTTTAACAAGATAATAAGAAGTCAATGATTATAATCATAATTATTTTTCTCGTATGCACTTATATTTGGCATATGAATTCAAAACACAGTTTAGCAATATTAACCGTTCATTTCCCGTGTAGTCTTAGCAACTTTAATCATTTTTTACTCGGAAACCAGACAGTCAATCTTTCTAAAACTTAAATATCATTTAAGTAAACCGTTACAATATTTAATAAACGGTTATGATTTTTGCTGTGCATTTATTATTTTAACTGTACATCTAGGTATTGAGATTATAATGATTTTACTGAACAAATATTATAATTACTATAAACATGAGATTTAAATAAATTACTGAGCATTTCATTCGTCCTCTTTTTATTTTATACATCAACATGCAATTTTATTAAAACTTAAAAAAATCAAACATTCAAAGGTTAAAGAAAATATATTTAGGAAAACAGAGGTTTAAAAATTAATTGGATTTAATTCCAGAGTAAAAAAAGGTATAAATTTGTCATTGCATTGCTGAAATTTTAGCTATACCGTATTTCCCAGAGATATATCTATAGCTATCTATATATATATATATCTATATCTCTGGTATTTCCACTCTAAAAGTATAAAGTGCTGAGGTGCCTAGTGCATCCGAACGTCTTAAATAAAAGTGGGGATATTTTTCAGCGGCGACCGCATCCTTTTGAGCATCCCTCAACCAAAGCAAGCATCATTTGGGTTTTGCATTTGTAGTGTTATACTATATCAAATAAAAACTTAATAAAATAAAATAATTTTTAGTTTGATTTTAAGAGAATTGTTTTATGTTTAATCGTTTTTATAAGAAAATTAAACACAAATAATGATTTTACACATAGGGCTTTATTAATAATTTACTGTTAAAAGTGACTAGGTTACATTTTAAGTAGATATCTAAATTATTTTTAAAAGTAAATTAACTTAACGCGATGCGTTTATAAAATACATATCGGTTTAACCATCACCCAACGCGTTGCAACGTCAGTGAGTGGGCGACTGAAATCTCCAGAAACAAAATCGTCACCGTGTCGAATTATTACCCCCCTTGAAAACAGAATGCTGTATACACCAAAAATGAAAATACGGTATATCCATTTCACCAAAAAATGTTAAATTTTGCAGTTATTTGCATTAAAAAAACCAATTACACTAGCTAAGTACCTCTGATATATTTTTCTTATGTTTACAAAGTTTGCAATGGATAACCTGTAAAATATTGCAATGCACCAAACATCATTAAAACCTTTTATTGTGATTTTTTGTTACCTACCTACTGTTTTTAGAATTGAAAACATCTATAAAACATTTTTTAAGTCTTCAGACCTGATTCAATAAAAAAACAAAAAACTGCTGACATTACATAATTGACTTTTCATTATTTTGTATGTTATTTCACAACAGTTGGTTACACTGACATAATTTAAAGCCATAAAATACAAGTACAATATAAACGTTTTTTGTAAATGTGTAAAGCCATTTACCGGTTTCAAAACAAAACTGTTATTACTCATTTCCTAGACAGTGTAATATAAACTTTTTTAAAGGTAACTATATTTGTGACGCGATCCTAAAATAGTTTAGTTTATTTTCGAATCGCGTAATCAGTACTACTAATACTATAATTAATCGTTAAAACCTACTTTTAATGCTTTAAAAAACATTTTTGTATAATAAAATAGTTTATAGATATTCTCAAAGCCCTTAAAACTATTAAATGAAAAACAATACTCACTAGAAGTTGATCTTGAAGACGTTCATTGCGTTCTGCGAGTGTTCGTCTATCCTCGATGGGGTCGATGATGTTTTCATCGGTGCTCAAGTCTTTGCTGACGTCACCGTTAACCATTTCGTCGTCGTCGTCATGGTGGTTTTCTTCCAAGTGGCCCTTGGTGGCGTTTGCCAGCTGTTGCTCCTTAAGTTCTTCCTCTTTGCGACGGGCGTTCTCGACTTCCTCTTGGAGGCGTTTTGTTTCAGTATCTAAAAAGGATTTAATTGTTTAATAGGTATTTATTTAATGTCAAATGTATGACTTTATACACAGAGAAGAGTAATCTCTCGATTTAAGAAAATGCATTTATTTGAAACCGGTTTTCTTGTATGAAGTAAAATTTTCTTATTTGTAGTAACTTGTTGTTTACAATAAGAAAATACTATTATTTGGTTGTAAATCATAAGTTTCTTGAAAACAACTTATTGTTGTGATTAATTGTAAAGAAATATTTATTTAGAGCAATTAGTTAAAATTGTTTGGATGTAGGTTTTGTTTCTTTAAGTAAGCTTCTACTAAACCGGAGATAAAAAGTAAAAGTAACTAGATATTTACTTGTATTAACCAAATATCAGTTTAAAAAGTCAAATAAACCCAAGTTTTCCACTAAATAAATATCTTCTTGTAGATACCGAAATAAATAATTTATTTGAGCCAAGCCAAATATAGTCAAATCAAGAGATTACTTTTTTCTGTGTATATAACATATATTCTGATGTACACACCAATCTTATGGAATCTCCCACTAATTACAAGAAACAATATTTTACTTTAAAAAAGTGATTTGGAAATAAAAATCACCTTATCCCAACAACCAATTTTATTACAAAATATGAAAACAAATTTTATATTGAACAAATAAGGAAATTGGAATTGGAAATAAGGAATTGTCTAATGAGAATCAAAGGAATGTTTTCACCAATCCTAAAGTCAACCTAAAACATCACACTTCCTCCTTTGCCTTGAGGGATCAATCATCCAACTCAGAGTGTAGCTTTTCTCCCACGACCTTTTAAAATGCGATTTCATCGGTCGTAGGCCAATTCTGGATTTATCCGAAAATAAGATATTCAATTGTCAAGTTTTAATGCTCCAAATAAAAACTTAAATGGCCAACTCTATTTTGCACTAACATTTTTGGAACCCTTAATGTGTTCTGCTATTTTTTATTATTTATGCAGGATAATGCACAACCGCTGATAAGCAGAGTTGATGAGAAAAGGAAAGTGTGACTGTTTTAGAGTGGCCTTATTGTTTACTGGATTTTAATCCAATTGATAACTTAAGGGATTAGGTTAAAACAACGATTAGAGCTCCAATTTTTAATTACCAATTAAATTGAAAAGGCGACAAACTAAATGGGTTTCGGTATAAGCATTACTCTTCGACTATTATTTGATGTTTTTATTCACATCATGCCTAAACTACCCAAAAATTTAATCTCGAATCTTATTTATTAAGTCTTATTTAATAACGAATTGAAGTATAAAGGCGCCTTTATCTACTTTATCGTTCAAGCACACTAAAGTGCATCTATTAATTATTGACATTTAACATTTAAACTTTAAATTGTATTTTTACTTGAAAGTGATTTTAAGAACCAAAAATGAAAAAAGAGCAGGAAATGAAAGTGGTAATGAAAGTGGCAGAGAAAGAGAAAGGAGACGAAAATTAATGTCGTCGTTATAATTTTTTTTTGTTGCGGTACCTTTACGACCAAGAAAAACCAACGCAATATTTCATTACAAAATTTTTTGAGATATAGCTACTACTTTAATTTTGCAGGAATATTAAATGGACCTGATATACGACGTATAATGAAAGATCAAGCATTCAAAAATGCTCTCAAAGTTGACGAGCTTGTCGCATATGGCAGTGTTAAAGCTGTCATTGAAAATGTTCTTGGTTCATATCGGGCCTAAAATTGGCGCCAATTCATTGAAAAAATGCTTTCCGTTTTGCAAAGAATTAGCCTCGGAATTAGCATTTTCTTTTTTTTCTTCATCCTGATAAATTTGCCGAACTGATGAACATAGAGAACGATTTCACCAAGTAATTGCAAATCTAGAGCATTGGTAGATATCTATGGGTATAGCGGAAAGAAGTTGGATTCATTGCTAGGATACATTCGCTGAAATTTGCAGCAAAAGATGTACGACGATGATGAGGATTAATTAAGCACAATAATACTATAATCCAATTTGATATTTGATACGATTTAATAAATTAAGGTAGAAAAAAGCAAAATGATGCAATGCATTAAATTTTGAGGGGTTAATTTGGATAAAAAATACTGAATTTTGATTACTTTGTTGCCCTTTTAATTTAATAATTAAAATAAACGACAAAAAATGTCATATTGTTAAGATAAATATCATAGATAACAAAGCCTATTTGCCGTGTACTTTAGTACATTCAAGATAAATTTAAGCCAAAATAATTTAATAAATAATTAAAATACCAACAAAAAACTTACATTTTGAGGTGATTAAGCACAGCATTTTATTACGAAATTATTTTAAATCCTAGACCCTAGACGCCCTAGAGAAAAACTAATGACATATTTGAAATCAGCGGCCCAAAATTAGTTAAACTAAGCTGGATTACTTAATGTTAGGAAAAACAAGTTAGTAAAACTATCATATTGTTATTAATAACACAGGCCCACAAAAACAAAAAAGTGGAATGAACTTTACATGTGAGTATTATAATTATCCGTAGTATCCGTAATACACATATTACGGATAGTGCAAAATTCAGGTTTACTAATTTTTTAATTTGTCCGTTTAAAATGCTTGTCATGTTTTAAAGGTTCGGAAAAAAATACGAGAACAAATTTATGTCAAAATCAATTTTTCTGAAAATTGGAAAAATATCCTATTTGTATTCGTATACAGAAAAAAAGCAAAAAACAATTTTTCTGAAAATGTCCTAATTTTTTCTTTTTTTTTTAAATTATAAAACACTACCGCGGATCCGGGCCCCCAATGTCTACGAGCCCTGGGAATTTGTCCCGTCTGCCCCCTTCTCGAGGGCCCAAAGTAAAGTAAAAAATTAATTCAGACAACACAAAAATTGCAAAAACATATTTCTATTATATCTATTAAGTTTGTTATTATTTAAAACTTGTTATATTTAAAATTTAATTTTAATTTCAATTTTATTTTAATTTTTCAAAACAATTTTTTCATAAAAAGATAAGCATTTTTATAAATGGGTAATTATTATCAATATTAGTATTAGGTACAACTTGATTAAAACTGTTGGTAAAAAAAATATAATTTTTTTCTTTCTGCAATGAATAAACACACATTTTATAGATGTATTTAGTATGATTCAAGACACAGCAATTTTAGGTAAAGATATAATGAAATATTGCTTAAACAATGTAATTTAAATTTTAACAATTTTTAAAATCATTTTAAATCCTGTCATAATAAAATACAATTCACATTTTGCATTGATTAAATATAAACTCATAAATTTGAATTGTACTCATATAACATCCGCTTAAGTTGTCTACATATAAGTCCTGCTTCCTAAAAAAATAATTGGACTAGTTATTATTACTTAAAATGGCAAATTTATGAGTATACATCTTTTGACACGTTGAAAGTAAAAAAGCAGGCAAGTTTTAAAATAATCCAAAAATTTAAGAAATTGTCGTAATTTACAAAATCTTCAAAATTTAGAAAAAAAATTTTTTTTTTAATCTCCAAAACTTTCAGGATTTACAAAATTTTCAAAATCATCAAAATTATATTACTATATAAAATTTTCCACTTTATGACATGCAGGTTTTAACAGTATTTTTTTTTAGGAAGCCAAAATTGTTACAAAAAAAATTGTGTTCATAATATTATTATGTATGTTTTTTAAAGAATAAATCTTTATTTATGTTCTTATTTTGGTTTTGGTCCTTTGACCAGTCACTTTGTTTCCAAAAACATAAATCTCTAAAAAGTGTAGTGGTCATTAAATGTTTGCTATGTTTCCGACCTTTTAACTCTAAAACGCTTTTCTTGCATTTAACAGATATATTTACCTTTAGCTTCAACCTCTTCTTGGATACGCTGGACCTCCTGCTGCTTGGCCTGTATCTCATCTTCCAGTTTTTGACGTTCTGCAGCTTCCATGTTCTTGCTTTCTTCCAAACGTTCCATCATGGCTTGCAACTCGTTCTGCCTCTTCTCCAATTCATCCTTGGCCGCTTGCAATTGTTTAAGTTGCTCCTCAAGCCTTCTAATCATCTCCTGGGCCTCGACAAGGTTTGCCTGGCTCTTCTCCATGTCCTCCTGCATCTGCTTCAATCGCTCCTCGTATTCCTGCTGTTTCTTTTCGGCTCTTTCGCGAGCTGCAATCTCGTTTTGCAGCTTTTCTCTTTGCTGCTGTTTTTGCAGTTTTTCCTCTCTGGCGAGCGCTTTCATTTGTTGCACATCGATGGTGTCGGGCTTTCTGCGCCTCATGTACAGCTCGTGGTTGCCCATGCAAAGGGCCAAAATCCTTTTGTTTATCCTGACTCTCGGTGCGAAGAATACAAAGTCCGGCGCTTTTTTATCGATAGGTTTGATGATGAACTTTCTATCATTGAACGATATGTTTCGGATTTCCGACCAAGGGAAACCGATTTTCGGGGTGAGTTGATCGTCTTTTTCGTAAATATTCAAACCTAAAGCGTCCACCCCAAGGTACAATTCGGTGCCCTTCTTGTTGCGGATTTCAAAGTAGTTGACGCCATACATTTCTAAATCTTGCGCGATTTTTAGGTATTCCATCATGGCGTCTTCTCTCAGCATTCCTTTGTGTTCTTTCCACCAGGTCATTATGCTATTTTCCCATTCGTCTTTTGACATTTTATGTTGATTCATTACTCTAAAACACAAGAAAAAATAATCAATTTATTGTGACGGTTTTTAATTCATTATTTCATAAAATACAAGGTAATAAAAAATTTAAAAAAATAGTTAAGTGTTAATTATTAAAATACCTAAACATAATTCATTTGAAAAGGGGTGCTAATTTAATTTGAAATTTTTTTTTTTTATTTTTAAAATACATCGAAAACAGATGATTGATTATAGTTCAGTTGCTTGAAATTTAACTACAATAAATACTACAGGTTGACTTTAAACTTTCTTAATAACACCACATGAATAAAACCGTTTATTTTTGGTTAAACTAAAATATATGCATTGCCTAACTCGTTAAATAAGCCGTAACTATTGTTTTATATAATTATATTTTTATTATAGTTTTTAATAATTTTACTACCCTGTAAGTATATTTTAATGCAGCAATTAAAAAATGTCTAAAATTAAATTAGTAATTATAGATTCAGTAATATGATTATCGTTTTTTTACAAAAAAAGAAAATGTTGATAAAAAATCTCTCTATAGATTCTAATGTATGGTAAATGCCGGAATTGTACGGGAAATCTACCTAAAAGGTACAGGAATTTTTTTAATTTAAAGATTAAGCATGACTTTCTAGTAGAAAGTTTCTACCCTCATGTGCTTTTTACTTTTTGATTACTGTTGGAAACAAAATGTATTTATTTTTCAAAATACTCGTATAATTAGATCTTAAATTAAAAGAATTTTTTTTATATGCTTCTCAAACCAATTTTAAGAAGAGTACTAATAACAAATGAATTTTTTTTTTAACTTTTGGGTGGATTATATAATAGTTGCGGGCCCACTTCAGGAATTCTGAGGCATTCTTAAATTTTTTAACTTATTAGGTACTTATTTTTACATTTTTTTTCAATAATTTATTGTATCCATGTGAAGTTTAGCTAAAACTTAGCATACCCAAACATTTTCAGAATTTTTCATTACATGTAATCAATTTTCTAAATAAATATCGTCAGAATATTTACCGTCAAAATAAATATTAAATGAATTTTTTTCAAAACTTTTGGGTGCATTATTGTTGCATTGGTACCTACTGATAAACCGTATGGCTGAATTTTCATAATTACATGAAAAATCGCGGGCCCACGTAAGAAATTCTTACTCTGCAGTGTTTTGAAAACTGCAAGATTTAAAACATTTCGATTACCTTGAAGAAAGATCGTAACGCCACGATGTTACACACAACCAAACTTATACCGTACCTTCATTTGCAAGCTATACATAGGGAAAATACATTGTAGGTGGACCAGACAAGTTGAAGTCAGCGCAAAGCGAAAAAGTTCTCAAAAATTATTTGGACGTAATAAAATTTTTATCGCCAGTAAACAAGGTCACCTGTTACGTCACATGCTAGTCTACTACTCATCCACTCGTCAAAATAATTTCTGGGAACATTTTCGTTTCGCGCTGACTTCGACTTGTCTGTTCCACCTACAATGTATTTTCCCTATGTATAACTTGCAAATGAAGGTACGGTATAGAATCACCCTGTAATTACGAGAAACATTATTCCACTTAAAAAAAGTGATTTTGAAATAAAAATCACTTTATCTGAACCAATTTTATTACAAAAATAAAGAACAATTAAGAAATAGGTTTTTGTTAATTTAATGCGGTGAACAACAAGAGCACTCTAAAACAGTCACACTTTCCATTTCCTAAAAGTTTTTGACAACTCTGCTTATCAGTAGTGGGTCATTTTCCGGCATAAATAAAACAATCTCAGAACACAGTTAATGGTTCCAAAAATATTAGTGCAAAATAGAGTTGGCCATTTAAATTGGTATTTGGAGCATTAAAAATGGACAAATGAAGATTAGAGAAATGTCTTATTTTCGGATAAATCCAGAATTGGCCTACGATCAGACGATCGGTAAATTCGTATTTTCAGAGGTCGTGGGAGACAAGCTAGATTCTAAGCTAGACGATCGATCCCTCAATGCAAAGGAGGAAGGGTAATGTTTTGGGATGGCTTTATTATTGGTGAAAACATTCCTTTGATTCCCATTAGACAATCCCTAAGAGGTCTAAGGTATGTGGATTTAGTTCTACAACCCGTAGTAGGCTTCTGAAAAGGTGCTTTCCGTAATTTATACAGGATAATGCACCTCCATTTACCAGCAGAGTTGACAAACATTGTTTGGAAATGGAAAGTTGCCTTCTTGTTTACCGGATCCTAATCGAATTGAGAACTTGTGGAATAAGGTTAAAAGGATTATATCTCGTTAAAATAGCCCTGGCAATGCAGAGAAGTTAATAAGAGCAGTTTTAGGGGGGTAAGGAAATGTTTCCCAAGCAGAAATCCATAACTTAACAGAAATTATGCCTCGTCGAATTAATGCTTGCATTGATGCTAGAGGTGGCAATACTGAATATTTAATTAACAAAAACCTATTATTTCTTCTCAACTCAGAGAAATTCATATTTTTTGTTATTTGTTCTATATAAAATTTGTTTTAATATTTGTTTTCTTCTTTTTTGTAATAAAATGGGTTTAGTATAAGGTCAGTTCCAAATCAGACATGAAACCGAATAGATGTGTGAGCTCGAGCGCTCTTGAGTGCCTTACCACAATAAAAGTCTTAAAAAGAAACATAAAAATCGCTCATGTACGGTGTGAAATTAGTGCTACTAGTTTTACTACCTGTGCAGGTGAAATCAGTGCTACTAGTTCACTACCAGGTCCTGTGCGGGTGAAATGAGTGTACCTGTTTCCCAAAGTCTTAATAAAACATTAAATAGGGCCTCAAAAAGTGAATACGGGGATAAGGTCCATACGGACACGGAAGTAATTAAGTGCCACAGGTCAAGGAATCACCTATGTAAAGAGGAAACAAGTCTAACCAAGAGTGGAAGCAGGGCCGTTCCTGGTGAGCGTGCAGTGCGTGCACGCACGCAGGCGCAAAATCCAAGGGCCAATCAGTACTTTGTAACGATAAACTTTCTTGCAATAAATTCCTAAACATACATACATAAAGGTTACCGCCTTTCTTTGCGTCGCGACGCATTAAAGCCTCATGCCGCTATTTTTTCGGCCGCAAGCGCCTTTTAAATCTCTAATATTGGCGGCTTAATTTTTTTGATATGAGTATCAAAATTAAAGGAGAGAAATTGTCATAATATTTTTGTATTTGTTTGATAGCTGCAGTTGACGGTAGCAAAGTTTAAGTTTGTAACGAGCTTACGTCACTAAAAACCAGTCGTAGTTAATATATTTTTATATAGTTTTTTTTTGTATTCTTTAGGGTGTTTTTATTACTAAATATTTGTTGGTAATTTTGTTTTGGTAATTACCTAATTTAATAAATATTTTTATCTACTCCTATTGCATAATTTTGAGGTTTTTTCGTGAATATTCATAAACATTAAAAATTTCCTGCCTAACAACGTGAATAATGAACTCATTATTCACGTTGTTAGGAACTAGTGATTGGCCGATTTCAATATTCACTGTGATTTAAACCAATCGGGTTTTGAATTGGAAGAAGGCGACTTTAATAACATTTAAAATTTGTAAAAAGGTTAACCATTTGAGATGTCAGATTTAATTTATTTAATTTTGAAAATCCTTTAATTATCTACTTATGGGAGTAGATAAAGTATAGTATAACACTTGAGATTATGCGCATTATTTACTCCGATGATTTAAGTCTCTCGTCTGGCGACTTGAGACGTAAACTTCATCCTCTTTAATAATAGCCTGCATTATCTCTCGTATAATAATATACTATTTATAGTTAATTTCAGCAGTTTTTTTTTGATTTTTAATTACATATTGCCAGTTTGTCGCAAAATATATATGTTTAAAATTTTAGGGCTTAACATTAAAATATTTAATGTATTATTTTTAAATATAAAAGGGGCGCACCCAAGAATGCTGCACGTAGGCGCCAGACACCCCAGGAACGGGCCTGAGTGGAAGGGGACGTGTAAATAAACCAAATCAAGTAAGAACGTCACAAAATATAATATAAGCATAAACTTGAGAGGCCAGTCCCATAAAATTAAAGTGTTTAAAAGATACCGAAACTAAAATAAACAACAGTCTCTTAAAATAAATCAAACGGGCACGTAAATAAGAAATAACCTAAATATAAGTAAACTCAGACAAACAAAGGGCAACTAAAGACAAATAAATTACGAACAGTGGGGTAATAATTCGTGTATCCGCAACTTTTTCGGTAGGTTAAATAAGGCGGGATACGTAGGAGAACGGAAAGGGGGTAAGATAACCCTGGGAGATTAGTGTAAGGTGATGTCGATGGGGCTTGCCATAAGTCCCCATACTCATAAAATGGGTTATTAGGATAAGGTGATTTTTATTTTCAATTCACTTTTTTCTCGTAATTATTGTGTGATTCCATATAAGATTCGTTGTGTGTATGTAGGGTTGCCAACTTTCGGTTATTGAAATAAAGGACAAATTGGGATTTTTTTTTGGTGCCATGTCTACTTTACAGCTTTTCCTATTTTTTTTTTCGGACGAGGTGGTGTAGAAGGGGCACCGCTTGACGTAGATGTCTGTGACTTTGGGACATCATCACTTGCATCGACGACTTTATCACCATTCATGATGATTTGATTGATGATGTTTAGCAAAAACCTGCAAATAAATAATGATTTGGCATTTAGGCAACTACTTGTTTAAAATAGAAAATGCTACTTTTTATGAATGTGTTTAATTTAATTTTCCAATTTAAGTTTAAAAATATATTGCAGGAAGACGAAAGTCGTTAGCCATTTGGATTTCTAATAAAGTTTATTATTATTATTATTATTTATATTGCGACAAAAAACTGAAATCTAATAATATAATTTTAATATTGTATTTTCCACTTACCGTTTCCTGTTAAAAAGTTGTAAAATAAGGTTAAAAAAAACACCTTACACACAGGGACTAGTCGACTACACACAAGGGCTCAACACAACAAGGAACAAAATAAAAATACAAGGTATGCTGGATAAATTGGAGCCCGGGGATTTACCAAAATATTTCAAATGTTGCCAATTTTACATTTTATGGTATTTGTATGGGCCTTTTTTGAAATAATTGTGGATTTATCTGTATTTCGGGATTTTAAAGGACCTTTGCCGTCCTTTGACACCTTTCAAAAGGACAAAGGACAGTATTTAGAAATAAAGGACTGTCCTTTGAAATAAAGGACGGTTGGCAACCCTATGTGTATGTGTCAATGTGTCTGTTTTTAGCAAGGTTTCTAGGTTATGTACAATATTCGTTAAATATTTTAAATTTTAAAAATAATTGTATGAACTTTGCTGTTAATGGTTTTATAACAAGTAAAAAGAATATATTCTTTTTACTTATAACTGTGAAAGAATCTAGATTTGTTCGGAATTTTTATTTTTGCATATACTTCATTCTTAAAACGCCCATTATACCTACCATTTATATTATAACATCGTGACGTCACGCTACCGAGATTTTATGGACTTTTTTTTACTTGAAGGAAAAATTGATACCAAAAATCGGTATTGTTCGAGTATTGTTGTTTCTAGTGGCCAATCTTTATAATAAAAGTAGTTTCAAACTGATTTTTTACATCATATGTCCCAACCCCATTATTAATTTTATGATTATGATAAAAAGGACAACACTTTGTTCTTACCTTTCTGGCAAAAGTCTATCGTTGGATAAAAATCCTGCATTGTGCATCGTTTTGTTGTAGTCACCGTGTCTCGCCTGGACAGCGTACGACGCCAAAAGGACGGACGTTTCTGGCGGGCAGTATATTTCGTCAGAGAGAATGGCATTTTTCACTTGAAGATAAAACAATCGCAAGGTGATATCTTGGATTAGTTCTTCGGCTACGTCTTCCGGGTAGAACTTAGTGCGAAACTTGAATTGCAGTGGGTTCTCTTTTTTCACCTCTTGGCTCATCACCTAAAATCAGTTTTAACATTACTACTATATTGGTATTTTTTTTAATTTTGGGGTTTACTTATTAGAAAAAGTATAATATATTGAATTTAATATAATTATAATTATTATAATAATTTTAAATGATAAATATATATTATTATATATTTATTTGATTCATCTTAAGTAAGAGATTAATTAAATTATATTTTTCTTTTATATTTCTACTCCTGCAAAATGTTTTGTTACAACTAATTATTATTATAGTTTTAGTTAATTAAAAAAATGTTGTTTGAATTATTTAAGACTGCCCATTTTAGAAAAAAACTGTATAGCCTGTAAAATTTCAAAATGTTTTCTTCTTTTAAGGTAACTTAAATTTGCCTTTTTTTCTTTTTTGCCCATTAAAAAAACCTAACAAACTTTTAATTTTTTTCCTTCATTTTATTAAAAGCCGGTAAAATTTTACTATGTTACTTGTCATTTTTACCATAAAATAAGTTAATATTAATATAAATTTTTCTATTTCATAATAGTTTATTTGTCTATACTTATATGTTTTAAGGATTATTTGAAAACATAAATTTTGATTTATTTTCCTAAATTAAAATATTGGCACGCCACAGCATTTATTACATAACAAATTATTGTTATGCACCTTGAATTGTGCCAAGCTGGTAGACGCGTCACATTAACTAGCATCACATGATGTACATACATATGTACACTTTGATTCCCATTTAACGTTTATAAATTGTGCTAACTGCCTACCTATATTTTTTCTATTACGAGTTTATTGTGAAGGCTGACAACAACATAAATTCACAATTACAATAATTGTTCTTATTGAAAATATACCTAATAGGTAATATCTATTGTTAGATTATTTACATTTGATTAAAAGATTTAAAACCATTTAGAGAACTAAGAATTTATTAAATGGTACTGTTTAAATAAAAATGTGTTCCTTTTTTGTTATTATAATAACATTGTTTTTTTACAAAAACAGTTTACCATGTTTAAAAATATAGGACTAAAAAAAATTATAAGAACAAGGATCCATTTTTTGTCCGGGTAGCAAATTAAAAAAAGGGTACATATTTATATTTATTTTGTATATTTATTATGATAATTGCGTAATTTCCTTAACAATTTTTTTCACCTATCATCAAAATTATAAGAACAAAGATCCATTTTTTGTCCGGGTAGCAAATTAAAAAAAGGGTACATACTTATATTTATATTGTATATTTATTATGATAATTGCGTAATTTCAATTTTTTTCACCTATCATCTGTCAAAAGTGGATCAACCAGATTCGCAAAAATTACTTTTGATTGGTCAAAAATTGAAAGTAACTACGAGGTGAATATTTTGGGCAACTCAATTTTGATGACTTTTAATTTGAATTTTTTTGAAATTTTAGTTCAACAAAATTGTCCGCCAAATACCACTCGTAATAAAAAATGTCGAAAAGTTGTGATATAGCGTAGGTATATTGTAAGGATCATTAACAATATTCGTTATATCACACCTCGAACATTACACATTAGTCGTATATGATTATTTACTCATTTTTAAATTAATAAAGATGCCGATTGTTTTAAAATTATTATGTTTTTGGGATTTAAGTATTAATTATATTGTGTAGGGCTGTCTTTACTGAGCAGCAAATCCAACTTTATATGTATTTTAGGTGCATATTTCCATTTCAAATCGCCCAAAAAAACTAACTTTAAAACTTTTATGATTTTGAGCAAATTATTTGTATACGCGCCTTTTTAAGTGATGACAAGTTGACAAGTAATTGGTTTAGCAAAAACCATAAGTGACAAAGAACGCCCTTTTGGTTAAACAAGTTACGAGTACTTAAGTTTTTTAATTTTTCAGAAGAACACAACTATATTTTTCCGGAGATTTTATGCTAAATCCGATTCGGCTACTTGCTTCATCAGATCAGGTTTCTGAGAAATTCTAATTCAAAATCAATAAACGTGTTTTAAATATTTAAGTCTAAAAGTATACAGTACTGAGTGCCGAGTGCATCGGAATGCCTTAAAATAGAGTGGGGATATTTTGCAGTGGCGACGGCACACCCTTCAATGATCATTTAGGTTTTGCATTTGTACAATATTATTTTGTAGCGTTTAATGATAATGACAATGTTAAAATGAATTCCTGTTCTATAATTCTATTTTGGGATGTAAATGTCTCAAATGTAACCCAGTGAGTTTTAACAGTAAATTATTAATTTATTTTAGAAGGTAAAATCATTATTTGTTTTGCATTTACTTAAAAGATATTTTCTTATAAAAACTTTAAACATAGAACCATTCTCTCTAAATGAAACTTAAAATAAAAAATAATGATAAATAATGTTTAGTTTAATTTCTATAGAATTATGCTTAAACGTTTTTATAAAAAAAACACCTTTCAGTTAATGGCAAAACAAATAATGATTGAACACATTCGACTAAATCACCACCGTGTCGAATTATTTACCCTCTTAAAAACCGAAAATAGGGTTATTACATTAGAAGGTATTTTTTGTCTACAAAACTCGTTACACCCTCGGTTACACCATTTGATAGTTTACCTTCAACATTTTTTTTGAATTTTTTTAATATATTTTTTCTATTCAAAAAATTGTTAGATGAAATGCCCGAGTTTAGTTTAGGTAAAAATTTGAGAGAACGTCCTAGAAGGACTAAAAGTCTAAAATATGGCAAAATGAGTTTTGTGAAAAAATAATATTTTGGGTCACAATTTTTCAGGTCGGATTTGAGGTCGGATTCGATTTCAACAATGGTTTGTTGAATGTGTGCTTGGTAGGATTATTTCCCTACTGCCTTTGCCCTCAATAAATAATTTTTAATTATGTACATTTTTTTGTGCCAAAAAGTTTTGTCAATTTTAAAAGACAATATTTAACGCCTTTTTGTTACTAAAAATTGAGTGTCTCGCCACTGGAGTTGTTTACAATTTGGTGTAAATAAATCAGAAAAAGTTATGTTTTTGGATAATATATCTCCTAAAATTTAAACAGAAACTGACTTGTTAAAAATAGAAACTACAGGTGTTTTAAATGTACGTTTTATAATACGATAATTATAAAAATAAATATAGATTGTTAGTATGCCGCATTAATTTATGCATCAATATTATTCATGAATGAATATTTCTATTTTTATTTTATGTATGCGGCCCCAATTTGTATTTGTACGTCCACGTGTTTTGCTTATAAACCATGTAATGTATGCAAGATGTTTTATTGTTTTCCATATTTCCATAAAAAAATAATGAAGTATACCTAAAGATGAAAGAGATTTATTTTGAAACAAATGCAAATTTGATTAAATTTCAAGTCGAGTTTCAAATACTATTTTAAATGTATCAGATTTTGGGTTTTACTGATTTTATTACAAAATTTCCCACTGGACACAGGATTAAAATGAAAAAAACAAAAGTCTACATTCACATATCTTTACTACTCCATCTACTGCATGTTTTTTTTAAACAACTTTTGATTTTTGCAATTATATATTTTTTTAATATTTATTGTTATTTATTTATTGTTTTCAAATCGACTAAATATTTTTAAAAAATTAATACTTAGTGTTATTTTCGAGGTTATTTTTGTGTCTTTACTCCGATACACACGCTGTTTGTCTTCTGATTTTGTGCTGCACATACCGTTAAAATGTTATAGTTATACTAAAAAAACGGCCATAAAGTTTTACCCGAATACGTTAGTTTTTTGTACGAAGATATTCAAGAACATATTTTTTCTATGAAGCACTATAGTGCTATAGTTTTTTAAAAAAATTATTAGATTCCAATTGATTTCTCTCGGAGCAGTATCTGATAAACATGTCAAACGATTTTACCAGGACGCATGGAGAAATGATACTAAAGGAAGGGGTCAAAAGCAATGCTTGTTAATTTTTGCTGGTCAATTCGACGCGAAACATTATCAAAAATTTGAAAAGGATTTAGACAAACGCTGACAAATAAAAACTTTTTTCTATAGTATTATTTAACCCGACAATTTTGGAGTTAAAAGTTAATTTAAATCAATTTAAACAGCTATTAGTACACGCTTTTTGTTCTTTACCATTTAGAAACGAAAACATGTCATCTTTAAAATAATTATTATAACTATAATAATTATTGGAAGGGGGAACATATTTTCAAAGGCCAGTTTAATTGACTGATTTGTCTAATCCTTAGACTCTAAGGTGAAGAAATAAATCTTAAATTGTTATTATAGAACAACAAAATCAATACCTACAGGTTGTTTCTTTAAAAATTTAAGGGTTTATTACTAGGATAATCCTAGTAATAAACCCTTATATCCTAGTAGGATTGAAACTTTTCTTAAGGTGATAAAATAAATCTAAAAGTACATATTCGTATAGAATGAAAAAAATTCAGGGTGTTTCATCCAGTCCAGCACAAACTATAATAAAAATAGGCAGCTAACGCATAATGTATACCATACCGTATTTTCATTTTTGGTGTAAACAGCTGACGCATTCGGTTTTTAAGAGTCCACTCCTCTGAGTGTGGACGAATATCAATTCAACGCCAACGCTGCAGTGTCATGACAACAAATATTCAGTGTCGAGTCATTGACGTTAGGGTATAGTAGAAGTTCGCTATATAATTTTAGAATGCATTGCGATATTATTAACTTAATGATTCAGGTACTTAAAATGTAACCTAGTAAAATTTAACAGTAAATTAATAATTTAGTCGAATCATTATTTGTGTTGCATTAACTTTTTTTATAAAAACGCTTAATAAAAAAATCTTAATCAAAGTAAAAATTATTTTGTTTTAATGTTTAGTTTGATTTCAAGGACATTGTTTTAGTGAAATGCAAAACAAATTATGATTCTACAAATTATACTAAATCAACACTTTACTGTTAAAAGTTACTAGCTTATATTTGTGACATTTACAACCCGTAATACAACAATTTGTCTAAAACTGAATAGAATAACAGGAATTAATTTATCTTTAAACGATGTGAAGTACAGAATAGCAAATGCAAAACGCAAATGAAGCCTTAAACCGTGCTTCGTCGCCGCTGCAAAATATCCCCACTCTCTTTAAGACGTTCCTATGCACTTTTGTTAGATGGCAGCGGCAGGATCGCCAATTTTCAAAATATAAAAGGCAACCCTCGTAATTAGCCAAATTTGGCTAATACTTCTCATAAATACTCGTAGAAAAAATAAGTAAACTTAAGGAAGTAACAAGAATATATTTAGACATGTTTCTGATGTGTCCTGTCCATGGGCTTGGAATGGCCGATATGTAATTCGTTGATTTTCAAGTATTTTGTTTTTTTTATATTTCTTTAGTAGCTGTTTCCGGTTTGCTGCTCATGAAAGTTTTTTGTCAAATATTAGCCCTAAGTATTTGATTTCTTCCTAACGTTGTTTCTTTTATTGCTATATTGATGGTATGTTCTTTTGTTCTTTTTTCTATATGTATTAGGTGTCAATTTGTTTGTGTTTGTCCATTTTTTTTCTGTCTTCTATTTTATTTTGTACTTCTTGATCTGTTCCCTCATAGAACATAGCTAGGTCATCTGGGTACATCATATAATATATTCTTATATTATATATATTAATATTATATATATATGTTAGCGAAAGGGTACTTAAGGCAAGAGAAGATAAACAAATGAGGGCCTACGCAGACACATTAGTTTTAACGGCAGTGTGTCTGACACTTTGAATACGATCGGTTGATATTGTTAGAGTAAAGTTTTGAATAAAGACTTATAGTACTAAATAAATTAGTTTAAAATATTTAAATAACATTATTATTGTTGTTTATTTATAACATATATAAAAAATTTTCTTCAAAATTTACAATTTTTTCGTTTACAATATTATATAATATTATATTATATATTAATTTAATTTGTGTAATGTTAGGTCATTTATGTAGATGAATAACTACTTTATATTTTTTTAATCCAATCCAATCCAACGTATTGTAAACGAAAAAATTGTAAATTTTGAAGAAAAATTTTTACCTACTATAAATAATACAAAAATGCAAAAGACAATTTTACAAAAATTTACAAATTTTTAGCCAGCTTAACATTGCGGATAAGAGATGTTTTTTACTAAATGGCAATCATCAAACAGACAATAATTATTATGGTTGTACTTAGGCAAGGACGCACGGTATAATGATAACCAATGATAATGATGTTTATCTGTGTAAATATAATATGTATGTATATAATTTGTTTTTTTTTTAACTTGACCCCTACGTCATCGATGTAAAATGTCAAAAACCGATTTTTGACATAGGTGCTCCTGCGACTTGGAAATACAATACGAATGTCTGAGCCATATCCTTACATTAATTACGTAGGTGTCAAGTTTTAAAAATTCCACTAAAATACAGACCCCAAGGATCCCCAGAAAATTGTTAAAAAATTCTACCTTCATTATTTAAAAAATTAAAAATAATAGGTTTACCTTGTATTTATTGTTTCAAGTATTATTATATAATAATGTACATAATGTTAAAACAGTGGTTTCGTTAGAAATTAATAATTGTTCTTATAAGAAAATGCATTTTAGAATTTTTACTTTAACAACACTCATGCGTTTGGCAATATGATGTGCCAAAAATTAATGACAGTTAAAATTCAAAATTATGTTAACTCATAGTTTTTCTTTTAGATGTTGACATTACATATATAACATGTATTTCCTTAGTACGTATTGTGATAATCTTGTGTTTGCAGAATGCTTAGAAAATGCAAGAGTAGTTTAGCCTGTGTTCGCCTATGGTTTTATTAGTCTTTAACACTGTTAGTAACAGGACTCACTGGAATTTTTTTCTGTCCATCCTAACAAAATAAATAACCTTTAACTTAAAGTAAAGAATTCAGTCAATTCAAAAAATTTTTAATTGTTTGTTCTCACGATGATTAAGAATTTTAACTACACTTTATTATTTGATGTCATTTAAAAAAATATAAATATTTTAATTTTCCAGCACTATATCCTTTTAAATAGTGAGTTTTCTGGGAGTCCTCGGTACGTTGAATTACGGTTAAACCAAAAGTGCGAACACTAGAAATTTTTTTTACTTTTATATTTCAAGGAGGTCAACAGATCATTTTGAGCCAAAAATTAAGATAGGTTAGTATTTAGTATAGTATTTTATTTTTGTGAAAAGTATTTATTTATGTTTATAAAACAAACCCTAGGGATCTAAAAATTTTAATATATTTTTATTTGTAGTGAAGCAAATTAATTTAAAATGGGTAGGTAACTTAAATCATAATAAAACCAAAATAAAATATTTTTATTAATTTATCAGGGTCGTATTCCTCAAAAGTAGATCCAAGTAAAAAATATCGATGTTTATAATTTTTGTTTGAAACATGTGTTTTTTTAACTTGCAAACAATGGATTTACAATAAAAATAAATTTTATTCAAACTAATCAAAACTTTGGTAAGACTAAACAATAGTTTGCATATTCAAGATTAGTTTATAGTTAGTTATGTTAGTTTCTATAAGTTTTTATTAGTTTTAGCTAAAAATTACTCTTATTTAACCTATATATAGGGTAATTTTTTTTTAACTAAATTTCCTAGAATGGATAACCTATGACCTATTTTAATTTTGGGCTTAAAATGATCGGTTGACCTCCTAGAAACATCCCAGATAGCACAAAGAAGTACTGGAAACGTCCTGAGTATGTCTTGTATCAGACATTAGTAAGTCCCGAGTACGTCCTGAACCTTCCCCGGGACGTACCAGGGGCATCCGATGTTACCAAATCGTCGGTCCCCAGAACGTCCTAAGTAAGACTTCCTCTGGCCGTCCTGAAATACTTTATTGGGGATTATTGGACAAGCTCTACAGAATTGAAGATTGGTATTCCCAAAGGGTCTAAAAATAAAATTGTGAGTTATCAATGAAAAACAAATATTTTGAACATATAAATGTTGGAATATTCTGCATGACAAACTATTTTTAAATGATAATATATTATTTAGCCAACTTGACTGCTAGACCCTTCGGAAATACAATGCTTTAATTGCTAAAAAAACAAAAATTACGTCCTTGGGACGTACCGAGTATATCCGCTTTAATTAATCCCAAATAAGTAAGAGACTGGACGTACCAAAAACTTCCGATATAGGTCTGGGACGTTCGGATCTATGTGGAACCCGAAATGGACGTCCTGGGTACCTCTTGTGCTATCTGGGATAAAAATTCGAGTGTTCAAACTTTTTTTTAAACGTATTTTCAACGTACCGTGAGTCTGTAGATTACCTTTAAGGTGGTTTATACTTTTAGACAAAATTATGTTGGTAGAAATTATTATTGGGTTTAATTTTTTTCCAGTTCAGTAAAAAGAGATGATTAAGGCGAGGTGAGGTAAGGTATGTATTTACTCGTATAATAAAAAATATCTTTCCGAGATTTGCAACAACATTAAATATTTTGTCATAAACCTTTAATTTAATCTAACCCTTTTAACCAATACCGTTTGTATAATTAAATTTCTTATATTTTACCTTATGACAATTGCCTTATGGACAATTAAAGCTTCCACTATTTTTTTTCGATAAATTAACCAAATATATACATGATTAATAAAACCTCTCTTATCAAAGTTTAGTTGGTATTAATTTCGAGTAATTTTTAAAACAATGAAATATTTATCTTTAAGCTGTTTATTAAGTTAGTAACAATTTAAATTTATATTGTTTTGCTATCACAAACTATGATGTCATTGTTTAGTATTTTGTTCTTTTGTACATAAATAAAATGATTGCTAAAAAATTAAGTTAATAAAACCAAATATTAAAATAAATAATATTGATAATATACTGAAATAAACTTACCATTTCGGCGTCACTGTCATCGTCAGAATCGACGTCAGTGCCATATTTATCATAATGACGTTTTATTCCTTTAATACATTTTACTGCTTTTTTGTAAACAGATTCCGGCTGCATGCAAATGTTTTTTAACGTTTGTTGGTTATATTTTATAAGTTACTGCTATTTTAAACTTCACAAAGCAACACACTCACAAATACGCTATATAACAAATTTCTACAAAGCTTTAATTTAACATTACAGTTTGATAAACAGTGTTATTTTTGTCTAGACAAGCTAATGACTTTATTCCTTAATTGTTATGTTTGTATATGAACAGATCTCAAAATATATCAATTGAGGAAAAATATTGAAAGTCATAAATAATTTTTTCTACTTCCACCTTTAAAACGCCCTTTATCGTACATGTTTCCATGACACTAAGTGATCTTTTAAATACACATTGACAAGTTGTGGCTTTATGGCGCTTTAGTCACGGGCTGAAGTTAGCAACAGGTTCAGTCACGGGCTGAAGTTTTAAGTTAATTGACAGTTGTCAAATGTCATACAATCGTTAAAATAAAGTGCCTTTCTTGTAAAATAATACTAAATGTGAAAATTATTTTATTATCTCAAAACAAAAATACAAAAGTATTAAATAGTTTCTCAACGCCAATATTTGAAAAGTTTATATGAACATTGTACTGACCTTTTAATTTCGCCGGCAGTAAACTATAACTTAAATTCGGGCACGGACTCCACTGTAAAGTGCTCATAAAACATTTTCTTTACTTTCACTATGAAAAAATGTCAATTTTCAAGAAATACATTTCGATTTATAACCTTTATAATAAAAAAATTTGACATTTGACGGTGGCACACAGATTCCCCTATTGTTTCATAGATAGGCGCTCTGTACAGATGTATGATATAAATCATTCCAAGATAATAATAAGTATTTGTCGTAGAAAAAGTATAGTATGCACCTCGTTTATAAACTTTTCTATACACTCATTAATTTAAGCACTCGCTCGCAAGCTCGCTCATGCCTAAATTAAATTCGTGTATAAAATGGCGTTTATCAAACTTGATACATAATATACTATTTAAGTAAAGGAGTGTCCATGATTGCCCATTAATAATATCGTAGGATCATTTCCATAATAAAAAATACATAAGGCCACCAAAAATTAAAGTTGAAAAAAAATGAATATGTTTAATATGTAAAACCGTTAAACCATAATTTAGTTTTTAAAAGTCTACTCTTTCAGTACTAGAATAGACAAAATATGTAAGCAAATGATATTTCATTTGTTGGGGTTGGGGGCAAAGATTGCCCATTTTCCGAAACCCCAAAAAATGAAATATCATTTGCCCGGCAAACGCTAGAAATTATTACAGGCTATCTTTAAACTATGTAGGGCAGTTGAAAAGGTTTTCCCAATTTAAAAAAATAAAATTTAAGAGTGCCATAAAAAGGGGTGAAATTTTTTAAAAGTGGGCAAACATCGACTGCTGTACACTGTTTGAAAAGCAACTACAATAATTTTCAGCATTTGCTCATGCCCCCAACTCCTAAAAAAATACATTTTTTTAACTTCAATTTTCGGTTACTTTGAAAATGTACAGGGTGTCCCAAAAGCCGCGCAACACCTTAAAGCTTTATGATCTACATACCTTCATCTAATCCTAGAAAATTGTACCTACCCCTATTTTTTAATAACATGAGAGCGCGTAAACATTAAGTTATTAAACTTAAAAATAATAGGTTTACCTTGTTTATATTGTTTTAAGTCTGTATGAGAAAAAGCATTCTAGGATTTTTACTTTAACAATACGCATTCGTTTGGCAACATGATATGCCAATTGATTGTTATCTGTTGACATCACAACATAGGTGCAAGTTGTTCATTTATAATTGTTTGTAAATTCAAGGTATAAGTGCCTTAAGCGCCTCAAGCGGCATGCGCCACTTAAAGCTCCTCCCCCAAGGGCTTACCGAGGGATGATTTCTTTTAAAATAGTCAGTCAGGCTAGTACAGCCGCTCTAGAAAGGAATATTGTTAAATAATTAAGCTACCATTTAAGTCATTGTATTATTCAGCAGTTAACTGAATAAAGAGTTAAGTTTTACATACTTCGTGTTCAATTCCTTTCTACTAAGCATCACAAAACAAACAACTTTACATTGGTCCTTCGAACCGGATATATACATATCCAAAGCAAACTTCGCATACATACACAACGAGTTTTAATTGCAGCGAACATTAATTTCAAATAATACGTAAAATACATCATAAACATCGAGTGCTAAGTGCAGCGAACATTAATTTCGTAACAAACGTGGAATACATCGAGTGCTAAGTGCAGCGTACATTCATTTCGTATCATACGTGGAATACATCATACATATCGAGTGCTAAGTGCAGCGTACATTCATTTCGCATCATACGTGGCATACATCATACACATCGAGTGCTAAGTGCAGCGTACATTCATTTCATATAATACGTGAAATATTTCATACACATCGAGTGCTAAGTGCAGCACTGCATCTACACATACGCATTGGAATAAAACATCATCGTCGTATAGGATATCCCATACGAGTCAGAAAGTGAGTACCTTCCTTTACATACTATTTTCCTTTACATAAGTCAGTATTGATTCGCAATCAACATGTCAGAGTTAAGTAACTTAACGCGAAAACGCGGTAGTCTCAAAACTAAATTTACGAACTTTTCGAAATATTTAAAATCAGTGGAAGATGAACTGAAAAATAGAATTTCTACTGCTACTGATACAGGTAGCATCGCGTTATCGGAAGGCACTATAGCCGCTGTTAAAGAAACATTAAAGCGCATAACAACGGCATTTTCTGAGTTTGAACAAATTCAGGATGAAATTGAGCAATTAGTAATTGGGGACGATAACCTCCCCGAGCAATATGCGTACCGAGCCGATATCGATAGCACTTACCTTGATTTATATAGCCGATCACAAGAAATCGTTCTCGTACATAGTCCCAAACAAATTTTACCTAGTGAGAGCAGTAGCAACGGCGAACCGCCGGGCTCAAACGTATTTGATCTAAGTAGTACGCGGTCAAGTTTTTTAAAATTGCCAACGATTCCATTGCCTATATTCGACGGTACTTTGCTAGACTGGTTAGAGTATCGTGAAACCTTTAACTCATTAATTAATAATAATTCTAAACTAGATCCCATTGAAAAATTCCACTATTTAAAATCATCAGTTTTAAAAACACCTAAGGAAATAATAGAAGGTATAGCGTTTACAGCTGATAATTATACCCTAGCTTGGGATTTAATCTGCGATCGCTTTAATAATAATAGGCGTCTCATTGATTCACACGTAGAAGCTCTTTGTAATTTGCAACCTCCTCAAAATGAATCAGCCTATTTATTAAGAAAGGTTCTTGATGGCATGAATAAAAATCTGCGTGCGTTAAAATTATTAGGTCAGCCTACTGAACACTGGGACACATTAGTAGTCTATCTCATTTCGCGTAAATTCGATGAAAAAACATTTAGGGCTTGGGAAGAATACAAAGCAGAGCGACCTGCAACTACAATTAATGACTTAAAAACATTCTTACTCAACAAGTGCGATTTGCTAGATTCTTTAGGTCATAAATCTACCCCTAATAAAAATAACTTTAAATCCATTAAAACTACCTCTAAGAATTTTTACGTCTCAAATACAACATGTACCATCTGTAAGGGCGCTCATCCTACTTACAATTGTAAGGAACTAATACATTTGGCGCCAGCAAATCGCCTGGAGTTTGTCAAAGCTAAGGGGCTTTGTATTAATTGCCTTAAGCCAGGTCATAAATCTATCGATTGTAAATCTAGTAACTGTAGAAAATGTGGTCGCAGGCACAATACTTGTTTACATATGGATCGAACAGGTACACGTAATTTACATGACATCAATCCAGAATCAAGTAGTGCCAATCATGAACCTACCTCGAATTTAGTTACAACAAACACTAGTAATTCATTTCATCAAGCTTTCAATGTTCAAACAAATACGCATGTATTACTTTCTACGATTTTGGTTAAATTACGTGATAGATTTGGTAACACTCATGAATGCAGAGCCTTATTGGACAGCGGCTCTCAGTCTAATTTTATAACCCAAGAATTGTGTAATAAGATGCACCTGTCAAAATCGGAAATTAATCACAGGGTTAGCGGTTTAAATTCGGCCTCTACTCAAATAAATTACCAAACAAAGATTCAATTAATGGCTCGGCATAACAATTTCGCACTAGATCTCTCTTGCCTAGTTATTCCAAAAATATCAGACCAACTTCCTTCTATATCATTAAACAATGTAAATCTTACATTGCCAAATGTGATTTTGGCTGATCCTACGTTTACCCGACCAGGCCCTATCGATATATTAATCGGGGCTGGTAACTTTTTTAACATATTGTCGGTTGGTCAAATCTCATTAGGGGCAGGAAAGCCAATATTACAAAAAACCCTCTTTGGGTGGGTCGTTTCCGGACCTCTACAGCTTCCCAGTCATATAATAAATCAATCTGTCTCTCAATGTAATCTTTCGAACGACTTAGCTCATAACTTGTCCCAATTCTGGGAAATTGAAAATATTTCAATGCCTACATCGGCTACAATGTCCAAGGAAGAAAACTTCTGCGAAAAACATTTTGTAGAACACACAAGACGCGATGCAGATGGTCGATTTATAGTAAACATTCCTTTTAAACGTGATCCTAAAATATTGGGAAATTCTTACGAAATCGCCAGGAAACGCTTTTATGCTCTTGAGCGCAAATTTAATTCAAATGCGGAATTAAAAGAGTCTTATACTTCATTTATAAATGAATATATTGAGTTAAATCACATGAGTTTAGACAATAATCGTACATCCGCTACTCATTTACATTATTTCCTTCCGCATCATGCGGTAATTAAAAATAACAGTCTAAGCTCCAAAACAAGAGTTGTATTTGATGCATCCTCAAAAACCACGACAGGCATATCTCTGAATGATATTCAAGCCATAGGTCCCGTTATCCAACAAGACCTTTTTTCTATTGTATCTCGTTTTCGCAAATACAACGTTGCCGTTACTGCCGA